CGGGCCACGCTCGGTCGCACTGGCTGCGATGGTCGCCTTCGATCAGAAAGGGAGACCGATTATTTTAGCAATTTTACTGCCTCTTTTTTTATAGCTTCAATTAAATAATTGGTTTTATGACTAAAAAAAAGAGAAAAAAAGAAAAAAAGAAGAGGAGACCGGCTTCATCAAGAGGCCTCGTCCCGGAGGGAACCACACCCGTCCTCCACAGAGAGGGACGGCCACCCGCCACCAGGGGGCACTGCTTCCCACTGGGGCAGCGCACATCAGCGACTTTTTCTTATAATCGCCATGTCCTTGGACTTGTTCTACGGAGCAGGTATTATTTGGGGGGGCGGGGGCGGAGGGATGGCTTTAGTTTCCAAACGCGGTGGTGTGGCTGGCTCTCCGCCGTGGGCATCTGACCCGTCTGTGGTCAGAGCGAGGTCCTGTGTGGCAGGTCCCTTTGCAGCTCGGCACCCATTCTGTTCTGCATGCAGCTAACTCGTCCAGAAGGTGCAGGTATACGTCATTGCCCAGCCAAGGCTTTCAGGCCTGAATTCTCTCTTATCTGACAGAGAGAATGCCAGTCACCGCAGCCCATGGAGACGAGGTCAGGCAGCGACCTTCTGGCCCTCACTCTCCACCTGTCGTGCCCTGTAAGTCCTGCATTACTTCCTATAGGCAGAGCCCTTAACAACTCCACGTGGCCAGATTTTTCTTTCTAATTCGACCCGATAATTCATGAATGAGCTTAACCTATTCACATGTATTGGGTTACTGCTCTGTTTAGACTTATTTCCACCCTCTTGCTCAGTGTATTTGATGATCGTACTTTCTGTCACCCCCTCCCCCAGATCCTTTTATTTCCTTCACTGCAAAACCAAATAGGTTCTATTTTTACTTTTTACTTGCTAGCTTGCACATTAAGTTGGTGAAAATGAAGCGAGAAGTAACAGAAAAAGGTATTTAGATACGTTTCAAGGGAAAAAAAAAATCCAGTCTGCAAACATTACAGTAGAAACTGTTTCAGGCGAGTATCAACATTAGTAACTGAAACCATGAGCAAAGACACAATACTGATGTAGTTTCAAAGCGACCCGCCACCAGATCCTTAGTGATTACACCAGGAAAAAACAATAACTTTGCGGTGAAGAAAACGCCACCAGAATGGCAAACACGACCAGAATGAAGTAATCAAAGTCAACGTCGCCAGTAAGGCGACAGATTGTTACCACGCATTTTGGGTCTCTTGAAGTGGCGTGGTTAAAATGACACGTCGCTTTTGCGGTACGTGTGCCAAAAATGCCTAACTGGGATTTATTCACAAGAAACCAGCAAACGAACAAAATGGAGAAACAGTCTACTGAACTATTGGCCAGAACTCTTCAACGGTTTAACGGCTGTAGAAAAAAGGCAAGAGCGAGCAAGCCCCCAATGTCACTTGAGGGCGCCAGAGGGAAGCTAGCCAAACACGCAGCAGTCTGTAGACCAGACAAGTGTCGCCTGGATGGTGCCCCCCCACCCAGAGGGAAGCTGGCCAAACACGCAGTGGTCTGTAGACCAGACAATAGTGTCGCCTGGATGGTGCCCCCCGCCCCCCCCCTGATTCCAATGCCTGAACGGCAGGTACCTACGATGTTGACCTCTGTGGGATCTGGGTGACAGCCACAGGAAGTCAGTGTGCCACTTTATTTTTGGCTTTTGAAAGGTGTCACTCCAAATAGGTGGCACACACTCTGAGAATTCCAGGGGCGAGGCTTTTCTGATTTCCCTGCCGTGAGCCACGCGGACTCACCCGCCCGCCCATCTCTCAACTGCAGGCACCTCCAGGCTCTTGTGTAACCTGGGCCAAACGTGCTGCTCTGCTATCTTTATCTGGGGATCAGCACAACCTCACGCACGGACGCCGCCCCGAGGACAGTCGGGAGGGAAGGCGTTACTCCAGCGGTGCTGCCGGGAATCGGGCCACGGGTCCTCACCGCTGATCTCAGCCATCCTGCCAGCCCGCCAGCCCCTGGGTCGTGATGGTCAGACAACCAGTTGAAGCTAAGGCTGGTGGTGTGGTGCCTGTGGCTGGGGCCCGGCGTCTCTAACCCAGAACCGGTGGGCTGGAACGAGGGGCCCGATCCCTTGCCACGCTAAGGCCACACTCCTTAGTGATCACCGTGCTCAGGAAGCAGGGCCACTCAGAAGGAAAAGCTTCCCCCTGTTCCCCCCGCCTCCGAATGGACCATGTAGCTGAGCAGCCATCATGGCTGATATCGGCGGGGGGGGGGTTTGGAATCCG